CAACTTGCTTATTGCAGGCAGAACAGATGTCAATATACGGGATAAGACAGCCTAGCCTATGGCCAATGGCAATTTGAAACTTATCGTTTGTGAATTACATTTCCTTTCCACTCAGAATCGCGTCTAGCCATTCATGGCCGTTAAGATTTTTTTTTGCGTTTTTGAGTATTTGAAGGGTAGTTAGATCGGGACCCAAAAAAAGTTTTTCAAATTAACATTGAAGCATGGGAACTAGAAAGCTCTTTAAATGACTGGAAACTGAGTGCTCGGATCCTTGATGAACTAGAGTAAGGCAAGATTGTTTGGCCGAAGTTAAAAGGGAATCGTTCAACTCGATAAGCGAGGAAATAGAGTCGTTATAGGATATCCGTCAAGAAAGAAAACAAGCAATTGCAAATAAAATGGGGGAGAAAATCTAAGTCTTCCCTGGTAAGCAAGCATAGAGGCAAAAGACCAATTAAAATCAGAAAACTTTAGGATTTTTTGGGATTCGATATAATGTTTAAATTTTAATTCAAAGGACTTACGGGGGGAATTAAATTGGAATGTAGAGGAGATTTAAAGATGTGCAAGAATTTAGGTAAGAAAAAACATTTTTTGGCGAGGAAAAAAAACTGATGGGGATGATGAGGATGATTCTTAAGCGAATTAAAAGTTATTGAATTAAATTGTCAAAAAGTTTTGTCAAAAGGAAGTTGAAAAGCCTATAAAAGAGCCTACAAGAGAGAGTTCCTCGTGCGGAATAATTTTATAATATGGAGGGATAAAATCCTTATAGTTGAGGGAAAATATTTCACATTTATTTCTCTTAAGGAAAGACCAATTTTTGATGCTTTCATTTTAACGTAATCGATGACCGATATAACATTGGGTAAAGATTCAATCAAAAAAGCCATCGATAAATTAAATTCTAATTTGAAATCAGGCTATAAATTTTTCAAATTCTGAATGCCTATAGTAAAGAGTAAAGGACTTAGTGGATCACCTAGCTGAAACTCCTTTTCAGAGGATATGGGAAATTTCCCCAATTTGAGTAACGAGATATATAAAAGGAATTAAGAAAATTTAAATATTTGGGGAAATGTTGCATAAAAGAGGGTAAAAATGAGCTCCTATGAAAATGCTGTTGAAGGAATTTCTTATGTCTAATTTTCAGAAAACTTTATTCTCCTCAGTGTTTATAAATATATGCGCTTCATGTGAGACCACTTTACACTCACCTCTAACTCCAAAACCTAACTGCGAGGGAAATAGGAAGAAACTGGCCTTAGACCGAATCTTATATAATCTTGGCAACTAATCGACGAAAAAATGACCCTATTGCTATGGGTCTAATACCCATTCAGTAAGAAACAAGGCCAAACTTAGAGAATGAAGATGTTATCATAAAGTTCGGTTAATGATACGAAAAATCCTGGTCTGAAACCGTCTAAACCACCTGTCCTACTTTTTTAAAGGACTTCAAGTACTTAAGAACTTATCACAGGTAAAGGGAATAGGAGAAGAGCCAAGGGTGAATAAAACTTTTACATTTATAGTTTACCTAGGCATTTCAGTTTAGTCAAACCCAGGGCAGTTTGAAACATTTAAATAAAATTTAACTTTTTATAAAATATTTATTAGATCATAAAATGTGTCATTCTAGATACACTCTATTTAATCCAATGTACCAAATATTTTGACTTGAAAAATCGAAATAAATTTTAAAATATAATTTATTAAAGAAATGAACTATTATACATTAGATATATATATATGATTTTGGCAGTCAGCTATTTTTTAATGTATAATATTTTTTGTAAATATTTATGGATTTTTTTTTACTAAATTCAGTTTTCTGTGATCTATTTTCTATTTTAACTATGATTTATATAGATAAAACAATATATATAAAAATGCCAACGAGTTAATATCAATTGTTTTAAAATTAATCTTATAATTTTACAAATAATTTATTATATGAATATTCTGAAGAGTTCACTTTTGTAAACTTTATAAAAATAAGGATTTAAATGATAAATTTTAGAAATTATAAATATTTTAAAACTTTTATTTTATATTATTATAACTAACTCTACTTCAAAGCTAAGCATAAAAATTCCATTGACGATTTTAAAATTCTGTTGGAATAGATAACACATTTATAAACTTAAATTGTATGCAAAGCATTAAGTCAGAAAAAATTGTAACTTAAAAAAATAAGAAAAACTACAATTACATACTAGACATTAAATTATTTAAAATGTAATATATATCTCTTTTTTTAATCTTACTATTAGATCAACATATAGATGAAAGTAAGATTTATTTATATTTATTAATACAAAGTTTTTGACGAAATTATTCAAACATATCGAAACTGCTATAAATTTTAAAATGATATCTCGATGTTGAAGATAATAGTTGTAAATAAAAAATTGATGCATTATTGGTATATTTTTTTCAAACCTCCTATAAGTAATTTTTGGAAATTTTTATTCTATTTTTCATTAAACATCATCACATACATAAAACATATTAGAAAACACAGAGTTATATTTATATATGAGTAGCGGTTAATCAGTTCTTGTGGCTTTTAACCATTAAAGCTTAGATGTTCAAATTTTATTTTGAATTATATTTCTTATATATAATATGGTAAGAATCTTTTTTAAATCCATCATCAATTATAAATGTTTTGTGACGAAATTTTTGAGGTAAAGCATATCCTATTTAGATAAGTTTCAGATTCATATATGTTTAAATATATTTTTAGAAGCTATTAAAAAAGTTAGTAGCAGGGATAGTTGGGGCATTTAAATCTAATTAAAGATATCATATATTTACTAAATGATAATATAGAATTTGTATTCATTTTTAATATTATCGAATAAATAAACTTTTAAATGCGATTAAAATTAGAAAAAAATATATAAATTTAATTAAAAATATATAAAAATGCATCATTGATATTTGCCCAATCTTATTTTCCTAGCTAAAATTGATTTTTTATTAGAGGTAATTGTGAAAACATATAAAAAAATTTTAAAGCCTCTATTATTATTAGAAAATAGTATAATAGTGAATAATATTAGTTATAAATTATTTAATAATTATTTTGATACACATGATTTAATTTAAATATGTAATTCTATGCAAAGGTAAAATAACATTATTTTCTCCAAGCTTGTTAAATTTTTTACATGATCTTTGCCTTTATAAGAGAGGCTATATATCCAATCATATAAATTATAATATATTCTTCAAAACATTATGATTTTTGCAATTTTGTTTTTGTAAGACTTATCAGTGTGACAAGGGATATATCCATCTTGCTGGAAGTTGTAAGTTGCTTTATTTCCTAATAACTAAATTGATCAGATCAGTACTAGTTAAGGATATCTTGATATTCAAAGGCTTTATGATATTATTTGTAGAGTACATACAAGGCCTTTTTCACTTATGTAATTTTATATTATACCATATAAAAACTTAGCAGTTCTTTCAATCATAATGATAGGTTTGCAAATAGATTCCTGTTTATATTCTACCCTATTTCAATTTACTATCCCAAAACTATTTGTTGATTATGTTCCTTTGCTCTTTTGTCTTTTACGTATTTTACGGCCCAATGTAATCTTTTCTTCTTATGTAATGTTTTTATTTAAGGTTTAGGCTAATAATAGTTTAAGCAGACCGAATTAAAAATAATTTTACTTATAGAGAAACATTCTAATAGATGTAATTTTAGCAGATTAGTTGCTAAAACTTGTCTCCCAATGAAAAAAATCTAAGAAAATCACATAGAGGTATGTGATTTATAAGAACTATTTATCGTTCAATCTTAACCTTTTTAAATAGTTATCTTTACACGCCCTTTATATTGCTTAATCTAAAAAAACGCCAGTATCTTTTATATTTATGCAGTAAAACTCGTATGGTAGACTGATATATGCCTAATTAATGTATTTTGCGTAAATTTGTTAATAATGATCTTTTTACATTTGATATTTATGGGCCTATCTCATATTTGAAAAAAAGGTGGTAAATTAATTAAATTATAATAGAATTGTAAATAAATAAGAAGACGTTTTATGACTAATTTTTACAAATATAAATTAAGTCCAAATTATAAACTTGAAATAGCATGAACTATTGTAAAAAAAATATTTAAAAAAAAAATTAATTTATAATAATTTTTTTTACTTTAAAGATTTATTATAAAACGGAGAAAAAAATAGTAAAAAAAAGAGCTCCCTGAGATGTAGACTGTGTTTGAAGCGAATATACAGTTTTTTCGGAGAATACCTATGGCCAGCTTCTGTCGTTGAAAGAAGCCTTCTCGAGGCTAGCGGATCCGAAAGTCTAGGGGTTCAGTTATATCTGGTATTTGGAAATATTTTAGGGCTTGTTGAATTAGCACCTCTTTGGTTAGATTGACTAAGGATTTTTTAAACTAGCATCGGTGCAAACTTTGCCCTGCCAGAGTTTCGGCCGGGTTTAAATTGTATTTTTATAATCCGAACTTGCCTATTAAATTTTAAAAAAATTAATTAGTTGAAATTGTTAGAAAATCAATTAGTAGCGTTATTTACAAAATTAATGTAAAAAATTTTTAATAATTTTTTTTAGATTTTAATTAAAGAAAAATATTATTTACCACGTATATTTTAAAGTTATAATCATATATTCAATCTTAAAAGAGGTACTTATTAATATTAAAATTATTTTTTAAATTAATTTAATATTCCCCTTTTCTTGTTAAATATATTTTTATGTATTAATAAAATATTTATATAAATTTGTAGTTGTTCAAGAAGGTAATAGGCACAAAAATTTATGTTTATGTTGTTTCAAGTAATAAGAAGAATAAATGACTTAATTCTCACAATATTTATTTATTAAAAATATTATAATTACATATTTAATTTAATAAAAAACATCTTTTTTAAGATCAACAAATAGCTGAAGGTGAGTTGTTAAACAATATTTCCAATAATTTTTTTTTAATAAGAGTTTTACTAAAGGCATTTTTATAAAACCATTAATTATTTTTATTTAAGTCGTTCAAAATCATGAAGCCGAGCATGGTAAATTTATAAAAATATATTTTGTTTTTAATATATTTTTTTTATTATATTCAATTGATTTATGATATTTAAATTTTCAAATATCTAAAATTTTTTTTAACAACTTAAAAATAGTATTGAATCAAAATATATTAAGATTATAATTTTAGAGTTCTATTTCTGGATATATTTTTCTAAATAAATAGCGGAAGACGTTGCAGGTATGATAATGTTTCAATAAAAGTTTATAGATCGATCATTAATAAATATCTAAAAAAGAAAAATAGTTAATTTTCCTATCACGGATACTCATAGAAATTGTTTTCTATTTATATTGTAAATGTGTAAATTTCAGGTCATACCATTTTTTTGTCGAATTAATAAATTTTTAAGTATCATATAATTTAATAAATTAATCACTGTTTGGATAGTAAATAATATTGCTTTACATTTAGCCAAACGTTCTTTAGACAAAAAATGACTATTCTTTCCTATGATTATCATGTAATCTTCATCAAGTATTCAATGACTTAAATCGTATCCCTCTCTATCAGATATCCCCTTTAAAACAATTCAAAAATATAAACTGCCCAAATTAGAGATCTCCCCAGCATGACTAAACTATCCGCGGACCAAGAAAATAAAATATTTAAGGGGTCGTGCACTAGATTCTTTAACATTTGATGTTATTTTCTTACTAAATTTTAAATAATAAAAATTTATAGTTTGCTATATTTTCACAGAATCGTAATTTGAATGAAAATAAACTTATGGATATTATATAATATTTTTCTTTAGAGGAAGCTGGGTGATTAGATTTTGGCTCACAGCCTGATAAACGATTTTAAACCCTTAATCATCAACAAGCTGCTTTCCTCGAATAAACAGTTCGTTAAAGATAGAAGAGATGGGGGCTAGGCTAAACAGGTTTTTTTAAAAATCATCTACAGCTTAAATATCTTTTTGTATCTTGGGATATAAAAAAAATATAATGGATCCTATAGGATATACTATTATTGGTAACTATCATGATTTAAAAATGTTGATTCTGCCGAACAAGTTACAACAATGTATTTAGTCAGACCACCTATGGAACTCCCTAAATAATTTCATTTTTTTCGTTATAATTAATAAAAGTCATTGCAATTTCTTAAAGAAGTGATATTTAAAGAATACTTCAAAATTATATATAAAAATTAATTTAATTTTTACACATTTAGGCATATAAAATAACTGATTCTTTGTATTTATTTTTATAATATCTCATGAAATTTGATATTATTTTTAGCAATTATTACCAGAGAAATTTTTTTTAGTTTTCCATTTGTATACATAAATTTATGTAATATTTTCGATGCCTTTTGTTATTCACTATCAATATTCCAAAATCTTTTGAATTTTTTCTACTGGATTTTTTTTATCTGTTTCTTTTTAATATTAAAACCATAATTTTATAAAAGAAATAGATTCCATTTAAACCATAATTTTAGATTTCTCAATCATTATAATATCGATAACCAATACTGAATTATAATAAAAATTGGACTGGTATCCATTCCTAAATGTGCGAAATCGGAATAAAGTTATTATTCAATTTTATTTATCTCGCATAAAAAACGTTGATCACTTCTAGATTGAAAAAAAGAGATAATTAATTAATGCATTTATTTATAAAATGGATTTTTATTCTTTTATTTTTTATTAATTTACTTAATTTTCTTGAAATATTTTTATCAACATGTAACTGATTAGAAGATTTAACGGTAATGTATATACATCGCATTAATAATATATTGGTTTAATTTATTTAAACAGAACTTCGCTCTTTCAGAGATTTTATAGTTAGCGTTGGTTATATAATTCTGGTCAACAAAGTTATTATCAATCTTTTAATTTTTAGTGCTAACAATGTTTTATAACAAGGAAATGGTAGGTTGAAGCATAAACATTTGAGCATAATCGTGAGTTGGTCACTTAAAAAAAAAGATGGGGGATATATTGAAAAAGAAATCTCGAAATCAGATGTTTGAGGTATATGATCCCTATAAAAACAAAAAGACTTTAGAAGCCTTATATAGGTTAAACCTAACAGATGATATGGGGAATGTTGGACTGGCATTAGGAGTCTACTAGAAATCTAACCATTAAATGTTATAAGATAGGATTTTTATATTTAAGATATTCATTATTTGAAACTTTTCTTTAATAGGATTACATGAAACGACAGTGGCGTATCCAAGATTTTCTTAGAAAGGGGGGATTTTTTGGGGCTTCGCCCCAAAAACCTTTTTATCTGGCCTTCGGCCAGCTTTTCCCCGGCCCGGGTCTAATGTTTTAGCTATTCTATAAAATTATTCATAATTTAATAATAATTATATTTTTATTTTTAACTATTATTTACTAATTCGTGCTTATGGTATTACAAGCTTCTTTTTTATTATTTTAAGTTAGGTTTATAATTTAATAAAGTTTTTTTAAATGTAAAGTTTAATTAATGTCATTTTTTTTTATAAAATTTACTTTAAAAACTAGCCTCAGCTTAAATTCTCATACAATATAAGTAGAAAATAATTTTTTTATTGAAAATACTAATAGTAGTGTGTATAAAATATTGACTAGAAAATAATTTAAAAAACAACTTCTTATCAAATACAATAATATACAAAAATTTTTAAATACTATAATTATAATGTGATTTTTAATTTTCGTGGGAATGTTGCCAATTCATCAAGAATTTCGTTTGTCGTTGGAATCAAATCTCTGTGGATATTTAACATAGCTAACCCATTTAGCCGAGATTCGGAAGTAGTACTTGGTAAATATGTTTTCAACCTTCTCAAGTTAGAAAAAGTCCTTTCATTCGTACATGTTGTAATAGGCAAACATGCAAGAATAAAAAACAACTTCAAAATATTAGGAAATTGAGCCAAGATTTCTTTACACCGATTGAGCGCATCAATATCATGCTCGTAAAATAGCTAAACGTAGTAAATATTTACACCACAATTCGAATTCACTGATTAAATTTATTTCAGTATCAATATCATAGGAATAAAATTTGCTAAATATTTAATTTTACCAATAGTGGCATTGAAGGATCTTTGGGTAATAAAACTTGAAGATTGCTAAAGACTTGTTTTTATCTAAAAACCGTACTTTTATTTGCGATTAAGAGGTATCTAAGAATAGGATGATAATGGATATTTTATAATATTCTTCAGTTGAGCCAATATTTATTTTACATCTCAATAATTGCCTAGGTGCTAGACGAGGTTTAATTAGTGTTATATCATAAAATTTAGCCTTCGATTCCACGTCTAGATAAATATTATGAAAATATTCATCAACATTCATTCTCTTTGTATTTACCTGTTTTCATATATATTTTCTGACAAATCAATAACCTGAACCAAATCTAAATTTGGTTTTTGTAAATTTCTACAAAGTAGTGAGCTATAGGAAAATAATTTATTGATGCAACTAGCAGCAATGATAAACTCTGATTGATCAATTGAATTCAATTGATATCGCTACTGACGAAACATTACTTTTTTTCATGCTCAGCCTTATTTAACTTTTGTATTTCTATTTCTTCTGTTCTACAAAATGGAAGTAAAAATGTAAAATATTTAAAAAATTATAGATATTTATTAATAATTAAAATATTATTATTAATTTTTTTTCGAATTTAATAAAATAATTATATATAATAATAAAATAAATTACCGTTTGATTTCAATCTCTTTGACTAGAAATTTTTGCCATTTTATTAATATTTTTGAATAATGTTGTGTACTCACAAGGAAAGGAAATTTTAATATTAAATTCTTTTTAACATTCAAATATTATCCTAAAATTGGGAAATACAATTTAGGAATGTAAACAACAATAAACATGTGCTATAATAGATTTAAGTTTTAAAAATGTTCTACAATCTAAATACTATGGCGACTCAAATTTTTTAAATCAAGATATATTTATTATTTAATTTTTTGGTTTAAGAATGGATATATTAGATTGTAATCACTTCTAATAACTTATTACAAGAACTTGCTTGGTACCTGGAAATGAGTTTGTCAACATTTTAAGTTACATGTATAAAATATTCATAAGATTATTATTTGCGTTCCTTTTTAATTATTTTTTTTATCTCGAATTGTTGGATCTTTATTATATTAATTTCATATATTTTTAGATAGTGATAAATATTGTATTTTCATTATGCCAGCTGATGCTTAATATTCCTATAATTTGCCATATATTTTAAGCAAATGAAGTTAATAAATTTAAATATTTCAAAATCTATTTAGTTAGAATATAAGAATTATATTACGAAATAATTACAATCAAAATATATAAAATTTATTTTATTAAAAACAAAAATATAAAATACTATAAAAATGAAGGGGGGGGGCATGAGAGAGTTAATAATGGTTAGGTTAAGTTTTTAAATAATAATATGTCATATTCAACGTGGATGACCTCCATTCATTAATTTGAAATTATAACAAAGCATTTGGAACAAAATGCTCTTGAAATTGGAAAGTTTTGGTTAAATAGTCTAATATAATATTAACTTCCTTTCTAAGTGAACGATGCTGACCCTATAATTCTAATAAATATATATTTGTTAATAAATATGCGTATTTATTACACTTCATATTTTCGTAGATTATCCAATACTTTTGAATACCACATAATCCCATGGTATATATGAATCCATCAGGTAGTTTAATATTAGGTTTAAACTGTAAGTTAGATGGTATGAATATTTATAAGAAATCTTGAATTATTTTATTGATTTATTAATATCTTATATATTTGAATTTGTTCAATAGGCAATGAAGAGGGTACTTAGCATAGGAGTCAATGTGTACTTTGACATTGTTATATATGTGTATATCCAGGTAGTTTACAGCGTACTGAAATTCGTCATTTATTAAAAGAAATTAGTTTATTTAACTGGGATAGGCTACTTACTATTTATTGCCATTAATCTACTAATAAAACGAAATTTTGTGAACTGCTGAATGTCAATGCCTGAGAGAAGATGATTCATCAAGCGTGGCACAATAACTGTATCCCTTTGTAAGTTGGATGATTGAAGTTTTCAGTTAGGGGTAGTCTAGTTGAATAACGTGAGGTATTAATTGAAGACGGATTTTCGATTATTAAAAGAGGATAGGAAAGATACAATTCATAATAATAATGGATAATCTTAATATGCCTGACTTAGTTGGAAGAAGAGTAATTTATAACCATCAGGCAAATTTAAGAAATGATATTTCAACAGAGTATTTTGCACATATAAAATTTTGATAGTTTATCTCTATAAATTATAAATATTTTTTGGTAAAAATAAATCTTGGTATTTGTTTCTCCTTACTTTTTGTATTTTGCCATCAAAAAATTTATTTTTAATTATTTATCAATTATATTAGAAGTTATATCATAACAATTCTTTGACATTTCCTATTTTAGATATATTGACAATATATGTAATATAAATGAAATAACAAATATATTGTGTATATCTATTTTATAAAGAATGCATTAATTGATATACTTTTCTTTTTTTAAATGAGAAATATACTCAAAATATAAATTTAAAAAAGATTTTTTATAAATACATATTGATTATTTCAAATTATAGTTCAGTCAGAAATCCCGTCAACATCACTAGGTTTAAATAATATGACTTAGAATATTATTAATATATTTTAATTAATATACTATATTGTATGAGTATGACTTATTTTTTTTAATATTGTTCTCTAATTAAATAGTATATTTTATACAACAAAAATTACATTGCAACACAAGATAGAATGTTTATATAAAATAAAATCAAATGATATCTGAATTTGATTATATAATATATTATAGTAAGGGTCATGTTATATTTGAACATTCAAATATTATCGTAAACCTTCTGGAATGTAATCAACAAAAATAAACACGTGTTATATGTGATTTAAGCTTTGCAAATGTATACAAACTCAATATAATAAAGAAAAGCCATTGACGAAATTCTTATTTTATTATTTTATTTTATTGTCTAAAAATGGTAATTATATCACTTTTAATAACTT